CCATAAAAACACCCAGAGTTCAAGATTGAAGCATGCATTTGAGGTACAATTGTAAATGAAGCACACATCTAGAGGGCTTACATGGCAGAGGTAAATCCCAACTCTTAAACCTTATGGCCTTGATGTACTTCTCTCCAAAAGGTCCTCACAGCCAAGTTGGCTCTGTATTAAGCACATCTCCACCCTCCTAGTGTGCGGTACTATTATTATCATTATTATGAAGAAAGGAGTCATGTTCAGACAGAGAGCTCCCCCAGCATCCCAGGAATGTAGATGATCAACCCCTGTATCTGAGGTCTATCATGTTCTGCCAGAATCCCCATCCCAGAGCTATAGTTAGGTAAAAGTCTCTAGGAAAATCCTTGGCCATGAAACTCCCCTAGAAGAAAGGGTTGGGTTTGCATACATTCACACACACTGGCACCAGAGCTCCTTGGTCCCCAGGACCTAGCCCATTTGCTAAGGCACTTCTAGACCTGCCTGTATCCTATCCCCACCAAGATTCCCCCACCCCACCAATACATACATACATACACACATACATACATACATACATACATACATACATACATACTTGCATACATACATACACACATACATACATATATACATACTTGCACACATACATACACACACACACACACACACACACACACACACACACACACACACACACATATATATATATATATATGCTTTTAAAGAGTGCATATTTTGTTCCCAAGGCTGAATGGGACAAGTTGAGCAGATCGCTCAATGGTTGTTTGGGATTCTCACCAGGTTCTGCTGATTGGGGCAAGTATCTACTAGAAATTGACTGCCATGTCAAGCTCTGCAGGCCACGGGACTGCTGGATAGTGTCTGCCAGATGAATCTGGGTAGATTGCTCTGCCACTGGACTCTTCTCTGGGCCCTCTGCTGGTTGGGTCCATTGATTGTTCTTGGCTCAATCTTCAATGGACAGCTTCAGTCTTTTTCTCCCTTTAGTCCTGTGATCGGTTAGGGGTACTCATTAGGTGTTCTCCTTTACTATGTGCGCTCTTTTCAGCTGGAGTGCTAGGGAGTTCTTTCTTCTACGGTAACAATCACCTTTAGTTTAGGATTAGCAGAAACTTCTTCCCACTGAATCCTCCAGAAGTTTCATCCTTGAGGTTATTTGTCAGCATGAGGCGAGAGATGAAAAACAAAACAAAACAAAACAAAAACAAAAACAAAAAAATCCTTGACTCTCCTGTGGACGAACGCTTCCTGACTTCAAAACACCTTTTCTCATTTTGCCTTACAGTGATTAGTCACCACCATCCTCCCAACCACCCAGGCTCACAACCTGGATGTCATCATCAACTCCTCACTCTCTCACACCTCTCCATATCCAATTTGTTGCCAAGACCTGTCAATTTAGCATTTTGAATATCCCTCCCATATGCCCCCTTTTCTCCTCTGATACTGAAAACAATGTGCTGTAGTCCCTCATTATCTTAAACCTGAGCTATTGCAGCAGTCTGCTGATTGGTCTGCCTGCCACGATTCTTTCCAGCCTCCACTTAGCTTTTAAAGCGATCTTCCTAATTTGCAGACCATGTCACACTCAATAAACTCTAGTGCCACACTATCATTGCCAGGATTAATTATAAAACGATCTGTTTGGCGTTCAAAGCCCTTCATACACTCTGCACCTCACCACAAACCTTGCAGTTTACACTCTTTCCCCCATGTTCTTACTCTTCATTCCAAAGACATTGTGCTTGCTGTTCTTCGAACATGATATTCTAATTTTCAGCTCTGGGCATTTTCCCTAGCTGGCTGTCCACCATTACTGAACTGCTCTCCCTCCTCATCTCTGTGTCCTAGCTTCCCTGGCTTTCTTCAAATCACAGCTAAATTCTGCTCTCCCAAATCATCTTAATCCTAGAGTATTCCCTCTGTTTATTATTTTAGTTTATTCTTTATATAGCATGTTTATACATACTTATTTGTGTGGTGTTTCCCCAATCAGATTATGAACATCTCGACTAGTTACTTTTACCTTTCTTTGTACCTCTAGCACTTAGTATAGTGCCTGGTATATAATAGGTGCTCAATAAATGTTTCTTGACTGACAGACTGGCTGTTCTAAGTGGACCTGAAAAGCTATATAAACTAAATCTTAACACTGGAAAGGGGAAGGAGTATGTGAAAAGGACTGTTTTGAGCGGGTAGTATGCTAATAAATTTATTTTCCTTTCTATTTGGTTACTACTTTATTTGATCTCCAGTCTTATGGACTATGCTGTGGACAAATTTCTTCCTAAGCTCTAGAAGAATCCAGGCTGAGAAATTTCCCCAATATATATTCTTTGTGTGAATGTTTATCATACATATGCACTCCACATACATGTTCACACTTCCTCTTAATGAGTGTATTTGTGGGAGAGTGTACCGCACAAGTTTATTGAGAACTATTTCCTTGCTACAGTAACATTGGTTTGGATCAATAATGCAGTATTATAAAATATAGATTGAATTCATAGTAATTTTTTTTCACTTAGAAGGATAATTTTGAGCTTGTAATGATGCCACCAATTTGACCATAACTCTTTAAAATGGGCTAGCTACCATCATTCTGTTGCTGCTGACAAAGACTACTACTGCCCCTCCCTTCTTGCCTCATTTTCCTCTAATCTCAAAGCTCCTGACTGAGTACTGACTTGAAAAACTCACCCTTTTGTCAGAGGGCTGATCTCACATTAATTTGTGTTTTTCTCACACTGGGAAGAACTACAAATCCTAAGAGGGTTTTGTGGTCAACCAATTCCTTGCCAGAGGTTAAGTATTTTTTTTGTCATTTTATTAAATGCTTCCATTTTGAGCATTTCATTAAATGTCTTTCTTTTGTCTTTTCAGTTACTATTAAAGGTAAACACATCACTAGTGTCTTGTGAGCTATGTTTTTAGGGATGCAGACCTCCAAAGTATGTTGAACTAGTCTCTGGGAGACCTATTCTATGAGGTAGTTTTTTGTTTTGTTTTGTTTTTGTGGGAGGGAAGGGCCACTAGGCACTGCAAAAACAAAAGATTCTCACATAAACTATCTCATGGAAACAGATAATTGACAGGACGCCTCTAGTAACCAAAGAGATTCCAGCCAGATGCTCATTTTGAAAAGGGAGTGAACTAAAAGAAATAGGAAATTTTTTTTAAAAAGACAATTATAGCATCACATTAGATATATCAACACAGAACTTTTGCAATAATGAAGTAAATCCCTGGAGTACAGAGAACAAGGTGTGAAGGTGAAATGTTTAAGAAATCTACACTATCTAATACATTCTACGCTACAGAAGAGGAAGGACTGTGTGAAAAATATAATATTTTTACTACTGTTATGACTGAAGCGTTTTTTGAAAATCTAAAAGGATTATATAAATGAGTTACCATTTTATCATCATGTAAATTTTGTATCTCTCCCATGCTGTGCCATACAATTGGTGTTTATTGACTTGGTCTCAATACCAACAGAAAGATATGAGGAACCTTGCCTAGCCTTCTGAATGTGAGGAAATCCCTATTTCCTCCTAAAGAGACAGGGCATCCCTACTGTTTTTAATCTGGGGCTCAAACCCACTTGCATGAGACTATTTGTATTGTTGGAGAATAGTACCTTAAATGGTTCCTGCCTCCAGAACAGGTGAAGTTTGCAAGATCGTGGGAAAGGAAAGATATCTCTTGGTCCTTCAGACTCTGACTGTGAGAAGGAACACACAAGCCAATGCAGGTTCTATTCAGGGAAGGCTCGTGGAGAGAGAGAAAAGACTCTTGGAAAAAAGCCAACATATGATTCCAAAGATGAACAAAATGGAATGGGAATGACGTTTAGCAAATGTGGTTATAATCTGGGTGCCATCTCATCCCTAGTGCTTACAGTCTTAAACAAGGAGCCCTAGCTGCAATCTTTATGCCTTTCACATCACCTACAACTCCTCCCTTTCCTCTAAAACAAAAATAAAAATAAATGATCTCTGATTAGCATAGGCTCACTACTTAGGGGCCTTCCTTTGAACTGAGTTGTTCACACCAAGAACAACAAAATCTCAGCATTGGGAGGAAACTTCAGGACTATCTAGTCCAACCTGTAGCTTACTAAGTATCCCCTCTACAATGTATCTGACAAATATCCAACCTCCATCTGACCAAGAGGAAGATCCCACTAGTTCCTGCTAAAGCCCATTCCACTTTTGGATGCCACCAGTCAATATTAAGTTTTCCTGATGACAAGCCTAAATTTATTGTCATGAAACTTTACAAGTTGTTTTTAGTTCTACTGGTTGGGTCCAAACAGAGCAAATCCTATCTTTACACATGAAAAAATTTCATCATATACTCAGTAGATCTTCACTGTCATAAACTCTTTGAAATCATACAAAAGATTCTTCTTTCTAAAGAAAACTTTTTTTTTCCACAAAGGAAATCAATTCCAATGGAAAGAGAAAAATAAAATTAGGCTTCAATTTTTAATTTACTACTAATTCTTTTCTTTCTTTGAAGAATTTCTATATGTTCCCCATGCCTTAATTATCATAATATGAGAAACAGAAATAATAACCTTCCTAAAAATAGGAACTTTTCCTTCAAAGAGTTCTTTTCTCCTCATTGAGTTAAGTTGGTTTAATGGTCCCATTTACTTTCTTCTATGTAAATTTCTTTTCCAAATCATTTATTAGTTGCAGTACATCATTTACATTTTTTAACTTCCACAGAAACAAACAGTATTATGGCACTCTATTAAAATCTAATAGTTATTTTCATTGAGGTTTATATCCTTTTTTGAGCTATTTTATTTATATTTACATGAATATATCAATTAAATAGTACCTATAAACATATATTCAATGGATATACTTAATCTTTGGGATATATTAATATCAAGATATTTATAGTTTATTAAAATTTTTTGACATTCATTCATATATAAGAGAGAGACTGGGTTTTTTGCATAAAACACCAACTTTATTGAAATAAAATTATGTGTAAATTATGCAAATTTGATTCATATGTAAATCCACATTTTCCACTGAGATAGGATGTATTTTTTTTTCATTTGGTTCTTTATAAAATTTACCTTTACAAGTCAATAAACAACTTCCAAAATCATTAATATTATAAAATTAGAGACTTTAAATTTGGTTGAAAAAACAATTTTAACAAAAAAAATTCTCATTTAAAGTTATAGTAATATTATTTTGATTTTCCTCAATCTTTTAATCTATTTGTAAACTATTTCTTTAATTCTAACAGTACACTGCCAAATACCCTAACTGTGTTAGTATGGTTGCCATGATTATGTCTGTTTATTTGCCATCTTTAACCATGTACAATTCTCTTATATTCATTGTAGTGAGAAGAAATTGGTTTACAGTGAACAGAAATAGATTTATATCAGACAATAGGGCACAATGGGAAGAGTGTTAGTACTACTGCTCAAAGACATCAGAGTTCAAATTCTGCCTCTGACTTTTACTAGTTCTATGAATACTGCCAAGTCAGTTTACCTCTTGAATATCAATTTCTTCTTGTATAAAATGGAAATAATACCTGTAATACCTACTGCACAATGTTATTAAGTGACAAAAATGAAATAGTGTATCTAATGTTTTATGTAAAGTTCAGTTATCTTCATCATCATCATCATCATCATCATCATCATTGTCAGACGTGGTCTCAACATTGCTATTACTTCTCTATAATCCAGTGTTAGGTCACTGAAGAACAAAGGGCTGGTTTGTGAGTTTATGGAATTAGAATAAGGAAGATAAAAGAGGAATAAGTAGGAAAACAGGTGATTCCCGTAGCTATTAACCGACCTCCTCCAATCCTAGCCCTTTAAAAATTCCTCTGCCAAATTCCCCTTTTCAATCCTCTAAGCAGCCACATGTTTAGTTTACATAATAAGCTTTTCCTCCCAATGCCTTTCTTTATAGAGGGCAGAAACTGGACTTTTCAGTTCACTCCACTCTGCATCTGATACTCTGCCTAGTTTTAACTCCAAGAAACAAGAAGTTCCCACACCTAATCTTTACCCCACTCCCTCACTCTTGACCCTTTTTTGTGTGTGTCATCTGCCCCTTGCATTAGGTTATAATCTTCTGGAGGGCAGGGACTGCCTTTCTTTTTACTAATTGTATGTCCAGCACATAGCACAATGCCTGGCACATAGTAGGCACTTAATAAATATCTACTGGATTGGATATGTGATTCAGATGTGGAAGCCTCCACTTCCTACAGTATTACTTAAAATCCACAGAAAGAACAGTCTGTACAAACTGATGAAAACAGTTCTAAAAAAATAAAACTTTATAAATTATGTTTAAAAGAGCAAAATAAACTAATATGAACACTTAATACAATATCATTTACTCCTATATTTTTGAAAACAATACTGTCAACTTATGAATTTGGTCTGTAAAAATACAACTTCAAAAATCATATATTTTCTAAAATGATCACTCAACTACCAAAGTAGCTTCTTGAGTTTTGTTCTAAAGCACATGCCATTGCTGTTGTGAATGAAGAAAAAAAATCAGTCTGTTGTACTTAAAGGACAATTGAGTCAGTTCAGAACACCAAAGTTTTCCACTCATAATGACCATAATCAGGGGATTATTCTGTCTTCCTGCAGGATGATATCAAAGTTGAAGATTAAACGACACCTTTGTGGTATAGCTAGGAACAGATTCTGTAAAAAAAAAAAAATAGTCGATTTAATTTTAACCCTTTATAAACAAATGAAAATATATGCCTTAACTCATTTTCTAAATATATTATTATCACCCCTCCAAAAAAAGATTTTTTTTCAAAACAAATGTTGCAGTGAGTTAGATGACGCCCCCATAGGAAAAGTGACTGCATTATAAACAAATTGTAGGAATTTTTAAACTCAAAATAATATTCACTTGTCTTGTATCAAAAGTTGTCAGCTCTGAGCAGTTGGTCACTCATATAAGCTTACTAGAATAAAAATCACAAGAGCTAATGACATTGCATTGGGAGTGAAATCAAAAAAGCAAAGGTATTTACAATTTTTTTTGCTTTTAAATTTTGAAGTGACAGCAGAAACAATAACAAAAAAAAAAGACAGTGTCAGTCTCTTGTGGGTAAATCTCTGCTATTTCATTTTGTATATGAAACTATGAACATCTGTTACATATAATTTGGTTCATTGCTTTCCACTATGAACACTTTAGATTTTTTAATAATTCATATTCAACAAAGTAGTTGAAACACTCTGTTTCTCATCTGTATCCTGTCTCTTTCTTAACTTCCTTCTGCTTCCTTCTATTTATTTTTTAATAATTCATCATTACTCTTTTCTACCCTTCTTCCTTTTTTTATCACCATCATCACCTATACATCTACACCAAGAAAAAATGAAAAGCTCTCTGTAGAAGGGAACATATTCATGTATTAACTGTATCTGAAAGTCTCATTCTTTTCTGTAGTCTATCATCTCTGTGACAAAAGGTAAGAAACATGAATCATCATTAGCCTTTTGGAGTTTTGACTGGTCAATGCATTGATCATAGTTCTTAAATCTTCCACAATAGTTTCTCTTATCTTTGTTGTATTCATTATAAAAATTGTTCTCCAGGGTTTGCTCCCTCTACTTTACATCAGTTTATACAAGTCCTCCTTTCTGAATCCTTCCCTTTCATCATTTCTTGTAGTTAATATTCTGGCAGTATATTCACATGCTATAATTTGTTCAGATGTTCTGCAACTGATGGGCTAATAATAGAAAGTGCTACTATATATATATATATATATATATATATATATATATATATATATATACACATATATATATATATATATACACACATATATATATGTGTATATATACACATATATATGTGCATATATATATGCACACACACACACACACACACACACATATATATAAAGGATCCATTCGTGTGTGTGTGTGTGTGTGTGTGTGTGTGTGTGTGTGTGTATACAGGTCCTTTACCTCTTTTTTTATCTCTTTTGGATATAAGCCCAGTAGAGATATTGTTAAGTCAAACTATATGCACAGTTTTAAAGACTTTTAGAGTATAAGTATAAATTGATCTCCAGAATGGTTAGATCACTTCACAACTGCATAGTTGTCATTTTCTTTTTCTGACATCTTTGCTAATCTGATGGCTGTGAGGAGGAATCTAGGAGTTGTCTTTATTTGCATTGTCCTTATTAATGATTTGGAGCATATCTGACATATAGTTGTTGACAGCTTATCTATCTTCTGGAGACTTCCTGATGATAATCTTTTGCCACTTATAGATTAAAGAATGACATTTATTCTTCTCTATTTGTATTAATTTCATATGTATCTTGGATATCAGACCTTTATCAGAGAAATCTACTACAAAGATTTTCTCTAGTTGTTTCAGTTTTAATTTTAAATGATTTTGCTTTTGCTCAAACTTTTCAATTTTATTCAATATTGTCCATTTTGCCTTCTGCCAACCTTTTCATGGATTGATTAATCAAGAATTCTTACCCTATCCATAGTTGTAAAAGGTATCTTCATCTGTTCTCCCCTAATTTGTTTATTATATGATTTTTTTTTCTATCTAGGTCTTTCACATGTTTGAAGCTCATTGCGATATACAGTGGAGATATTGTTTTAACCTAACTTCTTTCAGATTGCTGAAGTATTTTTACAGAATGATGTCTGGCTGGAGATTAGTAACTAAAAAAATAAAGGCTTATAGAGTCTTTTGTCACTGTTTTCTAGAGCAAAAAGAGACTGGATGTGTTTGTACTGAAAAACACATTTGGGAATTGAGTCAATACCAGGATGGGAAAAGCAATGAATAAGAAAGGTTGAATAATCCAACTCAACCTACCACACATCTATAAGTGTGTGTATACTCATATGTATAAGCATCCCCTAGCAACTCACAAAGAGCATATGAAGTAGGAGAGGAGTTTAAATCCCTATCTGTGGAAGGAAAACCAGCACTCATGCTATCTTAGACCCTTAAAATATAAGCAAGTTTTACAAAAGGCTGATGAAAGTATAGAATCCATTTAAGTGATTATTAATAGTTTGATGAGTTCCAGTTCATTTATTTCTGTTTTTCTACTTTTATCAAATATGTATATTTTGTCTAATATATTAGTAATAATGTATTATATTTATGTCTAGTGACTAGTTGAATCCTACTGTTGTCCCCTGCCTTAGCCCTGGGTGAGATGATTGGTCAATAAGAAAGGCACTGAAATATAAACAAAATGAACCCTGGATGATTCATTCAAAGACCTAAGTTTAAATCTTGGTTCTCTTACTTAAGAGGTATGCCATGCTGGATAAGTCCCTCTATTTCTTTGAATCTTGTTCCCTCATTTCTAAAATGAAAAGGTTTAATCTCTAATGTATCTTTTAATTCTAAATCCAATGATCCTGTAACCTCTCTGGGCATATAAATGAAATCACTTAATTTGATTATCCAAAAAGAATTGTTTCTCTCTCTTTTTTAAAGATACATTTAGATCAGTAAAAATGAAAATGGTTTTAAAGAACATATTTCTTTTTACTAAGGGGCTAATGAAAACATTAACATGCAAAAGTATTATTCAGAGCACATGACTTGCAGCAATTGCCAGAATTAGACACAGTAGCAATTTTTTAAAAGATAGCTACTTTTTACAGCAATAACAAAATGCTAGTCAACATAGATCCTAAATTCTAGATATTTATATAAAAAAAGTAAATGGTATAACTAAGAGGACAAGTAAGACAAGTTTGTCTTAGTTTTAGTCAAAAACCTAATGAAAAATTCATTAAAAGAAAACACTGCTCCTTTGCCCTTCACCCCCCTCCCAGTGATGTAGCAGGATGACATGGACCTCAGAGGAAAGCTTCAGTCTTAATCTTCAAGGGTGGCTTTGCCTTATTCCAATTGTATCCTTAAATTTCACTGAATCACACAGAATGTTAGAGATGAAAAGGACCCGAGAGACCATCTAGATAACCTCATAGCATAAAGATTTGATGGAACAAAAATGAGTTTTTGGAAGCTGAAAAAATATACTGAACTGAGAATGAATTAACTAAGGTTACATCTTGATTAATTCAATAGTGTATAATGTGTACAATTTATGTTTAATTAGACATAACATTTGCAGGGCCAATGACCTCCTTACCCCTTCCCCAGCTTTTTTTTTTATTCCTAAATCGTGGAACAAGTTCAGTATTAGTCACATAATAAAACTCCTGAAAATTAAAATAGCTTCAGAAAATAGGAGGTATTTTTAACCTTTTTCTAAGATAGGCAAATCATACATGTCTCTTATATAGTTCTAATGTCAGGATTTTTTTTGACTTAATGCCAAAATATTTTGCCAGAAGCACATAAGTGTAATATTTTAAAGGAATATTTTATTTATTTTTTAGGTTATACATGTGAAGTCACGCAAAACACTTCCATAATAGTCATGTTGTGAAAGACTAACTTTATTTCCTTTTTTCCTATCCCACTCCCCATTTATTCTATTCTCTCCTTTGACCCTGTGTCTCCTCAACAGTGTTTGCTTCTGACTACCCCTTCCCTTTTATCATCCCCCTCTCTTATCTCCTTCCTCCTATTTTCCTGTATGGTAAGATCCGATGAGAGTAAGATTCACTCTTTCGCTCTCACCTCCCCCTTATTCCCCTTCACTATGAAAGCTTTTTATTGCCTCTTTTATGGGAGATAATTTACCCCATTCTACCTCTCCCTTTCTCCTCCCAGTACAATTCTTTCTCACCCTTTAATTTTATTTTTTAGATATCATCCCTTCATATTCAACTCACCCTGTGTCCTCCAACTACCCTAACACTGAGAAAGGTCTCATGAATTACAAATATCATCTTTCCACGTAGGAATGTAAAGAGTTCAACTTTAATAGGTCCCTCATGATTTCTCTTTCCTGTTTACCTTTTCATGCTTCTCTTGCATTTGAAAGTCACATTTCTTTTCAGCTCTGGTCTTTTCATCAAGAATGCTTGAAAGTCCTCTATTTCATTGAATATGTATTTTTCCCATGAAAGATTATACTCAGTTATGCTGGATAGATGATTCTTGGTTTTAATCCTAGCTTCTTTGACCTCCAGAACATTATATCCCACGCCCTCCAATCCCTTAATGTAGAAGCTGCTAAATCTTGTGTTATCCTGATTGTGTTTCCACAATACTGGAATTGTTTCTTTCTGCTGTTTGCAATATTTTCTCCTTTTCTCTCTGGGAACCCTGGAATTTGGCTATAGTATTCCTAGGAGTTTTCCTTAGGGGAATTCTTTCAGGAGGTTATCAGTGGATTCTTTCAATTTCTATTTTACCCTCTGGTTTTAGAATATCAGGGAAGTTTTCTGATTCTCTTTTTCTTTTCTTTTTTGGGGGAGGCTAAGCAATGGGTTTAAATGACTTTCCCAGGGTCACATAGCTAGTAAGTGTCAAGCATCTGAGGCAGTATTTGAACTCAAGTTCTCCTGACTCCAGGACCAGTGCTCTATTCACTGTGCCACCTAGCTGCCCCCAGGTAATTTTCCTTGATACTTTCTTGGAACATGATGTCCAGACTCTTTTTTTTGATCATGACTTTCAGGTAGTCCAATAATTTTTTAATTATCTCTCCTGAATCTATTTACCAGGTCTTTTTTTTTTTTTTGCTATGAGATATTTCACATTTTCTTCT